TCGATATCTACATGGATAATTTTTTTACAAGCATCAATCTGTTTAGTTATATGCGAAAAAATGGGTATGGCGGTTGTAGAACAGTATGGAGTAATACCTTGAAATTTCCTGCTTTTTTAAAAATTAAAAAATCGAAAAAAATAGAATGGGATACTCTTTCTGGTGCTATTGTAGATGATGTATTAGTTGTGTTCTGGATGGATAATGGTCCCGTGAATATGTTAACAACCATACATGAAATTTTAGGTGAAGAATGTCGAATAGAAAGAGAAAAGCGATGACCATCAATTTTTAGCTTGAAAAACCATATTAAAAAACAAAAAAAAGTAATAATAATAAAGATCAAATATATGTAAAATAATTTTTAAACATTTTTATTTGAACTAAAAAAGATTATCTTAATAAAATTTTGTTAGTCAATTTTTTTAAAAATCAAATTGGTTCCGACTTTGTCCAACTGTTACGCGTACAATACTGTTTACATGAGTATTAATTAATGATTACAAATTTTATGTAACATATAAGTCAAATCAAATTTTTATACGTAAGTAAAAATTGGTTCTGTTTTATATTAGAGTAGAATTTAGAGAAAGGCAAAGTTTAAGGTAAAATTTTGTAAGGAATCTTGTTTGTTAGAACTTCAAAAGTGGGTTTATTAACAAAGTATTGAGAAATACCAACTTCTTGTGTACATACACATGTATATACGCAAGAAATATACGCAAGAAAAATTCTAAACTTAGAAGCATTCGAAAATTCCACATATGTTATTTTGTACCATCAAATGATATGTTGTTGAAATTGAAATTAAAATCTTGTCCCTCCCAAAAATACATAAATAAGAATTTTATTCGTACATTTTCCCATCAAAATTTGAACAGAACATTAAGCGGGACTTATATTGTTGCTTCTTCAAGCTCAACTAGTTTAGAATAATTTTGAATGATTTGAAATTAATTCAAGATTATCCCAAACTAGATTTGAGTTTTGATTTGAAGGACATCTTAATTTCAATTTCAAAACTTTCTATTCTTTTGCCTTCTAAATTAAATTTAAGAAATAAGGTAATTATATTGACTAATTATATAGACTCCGTATTATGCATCGTTTATCAGTATTCTGACATCATTTTGATACTCCATTATATCAGAGCGTCCATACATCCAATTCGCATTCTTCATCAATAATTGCCAACTCTTGAAATGGCAAATCTTTCGTGTATTGCTGAGCAGATCGCTAGTAATCGCACTCTTAATATACACGAATTCGATCCTCTTCGAGTTATACCCGAGTTAGCAAGTCGTTGGGATCAACAAAGATATGTAACCGGATATGAAGTCCTCAAGTTTATAATTACTCCAACTTGTAACAACGCTCATAATATTTCTAATCCTACGACTATTGATGCAATAGCTCGTTATATTTGGGTAAATTTCACTCTGCCTACACAACGTGATGTTTATACTAATGCCGCGTTTCGCACAAATGAGCGTAAATTTGGTCCTTCGATTGATAAACGCCCGATGAGGGATCCTGGTATATTGGTTGGACAACCCGCATATCTACATACAGATTTTTCGGACCAGCTCTTTAATGGGTCTGATCATCTACAGTAGAAACCAACTTAAACTCTCCTTTCAATAATAGTTAAAGCTGCCCTTCAATACTATTAAGATTTTAATACTTATCTCAAAAAACACTCATTTATATTCTAATTTCTAAATATGGTATTTTTTTTTAAATATAATTATGCGGTAACACTAGCTTATCGAAATGTGACTATTTCTAAGATATACTTGTTTAAAAGATTTAATTAGAATTATATTTTTAAGATATGCCTGTTTAGAAAATTAGAAGTAGAATTATTAATCTGTTCAAACACTAATAGTAATAATTATAATAATAATATTAATAATAATATTTTTTTTTTTACATACCAAAGTGGATAGAAATTTAAACAAAAAATAACAAGTGACTCTTAATATAAAAATGAAAGATGGTTCATGAAAGAGATATGTAGCAAAAATTGTCCTAAATGTGATTTTTTTTTTATTTATTATGTGGAAAAGTTTCATTTCGCATATTTTTTAATGTGGAGCTCCAATCATATCAAATAAATTGCAAAACTTTTGGTTCATGTTCAAAAAATAATATCATATATTACTAAAATAATTTCATGAATTATATTATTCGATAATTGGCAGCATGTAACGAGTGATTTCTAGTGAAAAGTCTTGGCGTTATCACCAATTGCGAATATTCTCTAATAGCGCCATCAAATTTTCATCCTTGAATTGTAAAGATTCCTTAAAGTTAGCTTAGACATTTGTATGTAGTAAAATCGCTAAAGGAAAACTTTTAGTTAGAAGGTTTCTTAAATTTTGTGATTCGTAATTAACTAATCGAAAATTTGTGTGATGAAAATTATTGATGATAACACTGGATTTGCTACGGTATTTCTACCTACTGTGTGTACGTACTGTGTGTACGTACTGTGTGTACGTACTGTGTGTACGTACTAGGGTAGTAAATAAACTAATAATCAAAGCCGGTGAAAAATACTTGAATTGGTTTTTTTTTTTGTTCTCTGAGAACATAAATTTTAATTTTTAGGTTTTCAAAAAAAAATTTAATGTTTTCAAAGATTCTAGGAAAATTATTTTTATAATAAAGTATTTTAATGTTCTTGAAAACACTGATATCATTTTAAGTTGCTATAAAGTTACTATATTTTAGCAATATTACTACCACAAATTTATAAAAAAATTTTTTTATTTAATTTCAAATTTAAATAAAAACCTTTTATAAATTAGTAGTAGTATTGCTAATATATAATAACTTGAAATAATTATATAATAATTTTATAGAAATTTAAAGGTAATCTAAAAAATAATTCTACAGCTTACTCTGGAATAATAAACCATCCTATAACGAACTCTGGAAATTTCATAACTAAGAAAGCAGAGAATTTTTAGAATAATCAGTTCGTTATAGAAAGAGTTGACTGTATTTTATTCTCGCATTAGATATAAAATTTATTTGCCGAATATTATAATAGATCCAATATACAGTATATTTTAATTACTCAGTATTCTGAACAACCTAGCGTTTTGTTCTTTATTTATATTTTGTGATAAAAAGTCTTCTTCCAAGTGCTTTGAATTTTCAGGTTGTGCTACATGGCCAACTTTCTATTGAACATCTGATCACAGTGGTTTGAAAAACGTATAGTCAATAAGTATAAAGGGTAATACATATTTTTCGGCAAAGCAATGGCAAAGAATGAATTGTAAACGCCATTTTTGAGAGACACATTGATAATTTTGAATATAATTAATTTATAAATCCTACAGTAATTGGCATCGGTGGCTTTGGAAAGGTTTTTAAATACGAAAGGAAATACTGCGATTTAACGATTTCCCTTAAATGTCTTAAAATATATATTTACAGTAGATGAAAAAATTATTATTGACTTTATTAATGAGATATTTATTATATTACAACTAGAAT